AATGTTATTCAAATTATTTAGAGTGTTACTTTTATTAGATAATAGTTTACCTCTATTCAAACTCGTCTGGGAACTAGGGGCCAGGAAGGTGATTCTCCAGACGGACTCTCTCATAGCGAAGACTCTCATCGAGACGACTTCACATCACCACCCGCATTTCGTTGCCATAGCCGAGATTCGACGTTGGCTCCAGCGTCCATGGCAGGTTCGGATAGATCACGGGGAGGGAAACTATGTTGCAGACTACTTGGCTTCTATAGGGCATAATTATCCGATTGGTGTCCATGTCTTTGACACCACGTCGAGCGTTTTAGCCTACTGGTTGTATTTTGGCAGGATCAGGGTTGAAACCCCTCGAGTTGTTAATGCATAAAGGTTGGTCGCCCTTTAAGCGTCCCGTTTTCCAAAAAAAAAAAAAAAGATGGAATCATGTGGAATCTATACCCCATAATGTGTATCAATAATCTTCTTAGATTAATGTACATGATTCACGTTATAGATTCAATTACTTCCCATTTTGATTATCACAATATTTATAGATGATGGTTTAAGAGTTTAGTTAGTGACTATGCCATTGTCTATAACAAACTTTGTTATAGTTTTATAGAGCATGCCTAATTGGTTATATTCGGTTGGAGAACCTATCATAAGCTATCTCATCTCAATAAGGTCACTCGAACTATCTCAAATGTAGGTTATTTCACATTATATGTCACACACCTAAATTTAGAAAGGGGATAATAGTTATGAGATATAAAGTTATAAACATTAGAACAAGAAATACCTTGATATAATTTTGATTAAAATATTTTCTTACGATTAATGATTATTGATTTTAGTATATTCTTTAATATAAGGAAAACTTACATAACTAAATTTTTGATAGGTTAATGTACACAATTCTTAATCATTCGTGTCTAGAATAATGTGGAATCTATACCCTAAACTCTATATAAAAAATATTGTTAAATTAATTTACAATTCACATTATAAATCATATAGATGATAGTTTAAGAGTTTAGTATTTAATGACTATGTCATTGCTTACAGTAAACTTTATTATAGCCTTATAGAGCATGCTTAATCAGTTATAGGAGATATCATAAGTTATCTCTTCTGAATAACATTACTCAAGTTATCTCAAATGCAAGTTATTTCACATTATATATCATATACTTATTTATTTATCAATTTGATTCTTCCAATTTTGACAATTTTCAATGATGTTTTAAGATTTTTACATTTAATAACTAAGACATTATTTATAGTAAATTTTATTATAGCCTTATACAGAATACCATTGACCTAGTTATATGAACAAATTATAGATTTTTAGGTAAACTATTACTAAAAGAAAACAAATACCTAATTATAAATCACAAGGATTTACTCATGACAAAATTCTTTTATTAAAAATACCAAAAACAAGAATTATTATTCATGATAAATTATTATCATACTAAAAATATATAAAGTTATTTCTTTTTATATTTAGTCACCTAAAATATTCTACTTTCATGTTTCTCAATTTAATATTTATATATTGGTAATAAATATTAATATTTTTTATTAGGATATGAATTACTAACCTTATAATTTATTAATTTAGTTAATAAGTATTATTAAATGGAGGGAAAATCCACACTTCAAAATTCATGATTTAAAAGTCCAAAAGTTTTAATTAAAAATTTCCCTCATAAATGCCACAATGTTTTCCTTTTAAATTTGAGTGGGTTGTTCTTAGGTTGGGTTAGTTCATGGGTTGGGTAGGGGTTATATGACATGGCGGGTTTTAATGATCCAGCCTGGTCGAATTTTCACTTTATTCGGGTTAAATTAGGCTAGTTAGGGGATTATGGTAGCCAAGTCAGCTAAAAATGACTTCATTAATTAACAAAGATCGACGGAAGGTAACAGTCAGTGAGTTGACTTGAACTATTGAATAAATTCCAATGACCTCGAACAAAATCTAAATGTTCTAGTCGTAAACGTGAAACAATTTAATAATCCAGTTACCGAACTTGCAATTTACCCCATAAATATATGATAACTACGCAATGACAGAGGTAAAATCATGAAAAATGAGCCAAAAAGTCTTTGATGGATTTGAACTATGATCATTGAAGAGAGGAGGCAAGACCCTTATCAATTAATTTACTTTCAAAATTTTACCTATATTTCAAACTAGGGCTATTACCCTTCTGACTCCACATGGCTCCTGAGAAGTTTGGACAGAATAGTCACCAAAGAGTTCATCAACCTTTTTACTTTTCTATTTTTCTTCATTGTTTTTTTTACAATTCCTTTATATGCTTTAGTCGCACGTATCAACAAGTGACATTCTGTCCGTCGTCCCGACAACTCCGATTAAAGCAATAACACACGTAACCCTTTTGGAAAATCAAAGCTAATTATTAATTGAGTAATTTTTGTCCGGATTAATCGAGGTATTCATGTATTATCATGGCAATGTCAAAGGAAATCAAACTCATTTAGTTGTAATATTGATCAAGAATATACCCACAGGCCACAAGTCACAACTCACAAATGATAGTACCAATGCTGTAGTTGGTTAATTTTATCATGGAAAATAGGTTGAGGAACAAAACTAATTGATTAAGTACGAAGAAAAATTCATACCAACCTTTTCAATTCACTCGTTATTTACTTAGATTTTTAAATAATTGTCAGGGAATTAATTAATTTAGTGCATGACAAAAGGTTTGGCCGCGGTGTTTAGTTTGGAAGATGTGATGGTATGTGTGTTAATCATGAATATGTATTGTGATTTGTGATTGATGGCACGAGTAACCTAGCTCAACGTATACATTTAAGATTATTTTATCAGTCCTAATTGCTCGATAAACCCAGAAGAGTAAAATCCATAGTATGAATATGACGAGTAACTAAGGTATCAAATTGTCACCAAACTAGGCTTCATTGAGAACATTATTAGGAATATGTGAATTTTTGGGAAAGAGAAAGTCAAGGACTTTGGCCTATATAGTTTTTTTATGTACACATGCAAAATTGTAAATTTAAGTCGTTTATGAAAATATTCGCAGTAGGATATGAGAATAATTGTCCTTATTATGTGTTGCAACAAGGATATATAAATATGTTATTTATTGTTACTAGTTGGAAGAGGTTGGGAAATTATTGACAAGACGATGCTAACAATGATAGAAACGAGAGAAGAGTAAGATTAGAATTTTGTTGTTTGAGCTGGAGGGGCGGTAATCGCTATATATATGCCAGAAGAGAAATATATATTAATATTAATATATAGCTTTATATATGTATTAATTAATATTCATACATGTTTCTCTAGGAACATCACTATAATTAAGTATTGCGGTTATATAATTAATCCTTAATTATTCTTCAATTCTATAGTTAATTAGTCATCGCGACAGTGGAAGCACAACATCCAACGAAAACAATGAGCTGCACTTTGAGAACTTAGAAGGCTAAATCAGTGGCAAACCCAAGTGAAAATGAATAGGTTGTCAATTGAAACCTTAAATGAAAATTGTGAACTAAAACGTTACGTTGGGTCAATTTTTACCTTAACAATGATAATATTTAAATTCGAGAATATTTAGTAATTCTTAGAAATTTTGATTTATCGTTGAAATTTTTGGGTCCACCACCGAATAAAATTCGGATTATTGGTCGTTTGGCTTTATTTTTGACGCGTGCATGACAGCAATTATGCTCATCTAGCTAGCTTATTAGTTTTGTGGATACAACTTATAATTGTTTATTAATTACTCAATCCATGTTGTTTTGCCCGTAAGACAGACGAGGAGAAGCCACCAAGAAGAGGAATCTAAGGAAACCAAGGCCCATTTTTTGTCGCATTAAGTTTTACTTTACAGACTTCGCGTCCAAGCAATTAGATTAACTAAAGCATGTACTTAATTGGCTTAATGTCTCAATTAAATTCTTTTCTATAGTTAGTTCCCTTGGTTTCTCAGTTAATTAATGTGTATGATTGGACTCTATCTGTACTAATTTATCCATAGGGACGGCAAGTACTGGAAAAAACTAAATTTGTTCTTCACCAAGGATTTAGTTGTAGCGGTTTATTCGAGGTATTTTCACTTCATAATTATGTATGGCTTCACATTAATTAACCTACACGAGCGCATGAATTCAGTTTCGGTTTAATAGTACATCCCATTGCTATGTAGTCAGATCATATACTTGTTCAATTTATCTCTCCCAACCCGAATCTCATGAGACAATAACCTGTTTTATTGAAGGTTCATCTCTACTAATATAATCCAATCGCGTCCATTCATTAATCACATGAGCAGAACGGAACTAGGAAAGTATAGAGAGAATTTAAAGGCTCTTTGCTTGATTCATAGATTCAAATTATGGAACACATCTCCTTGATGATGTAATATGCTTAGTTTGTACCTCAATCGGATTCATTTCCTTAATTACATACATTATGTTCTTAATTAGAAAGTACTTAGTTGTAATCCCTTACACGTGTGTGTGGTATATATTTAATTATAATTATAGCTAGCTCCATATCGTTACATCCTAGGAGTACACACTTCCTTGTTCCATGGCCAAACAACAAGAAATATGCATAGACCTATATACTTAATTATTGACCAAGCTACGTACAAACTAAAAAGAGTTAATTAACCAAAGCCAATTAGTCATAGTTATGAATAACAACAACAATTAGTATATAATAATTAAATATATATATAGTAACCATTGAAATTACGTTGAAGCCAAAGAAGAGAAACTGTCCTAACACTTGAGGATTGTAGCTGTGATGGGGAGATGATGATGATCATCATCACATTATCAACAATGTAGGTTAGAGCAAAGTAAGTAAACTCCAAACACTTTGCCCACAACAACATTTTGGTCCCTCTTTTCCCCATCTCTCCCTCCCCTATTTAACTCTTTTTTTTCTTCTTCCTATCATCATATCTCATCTCACTACTACTCTAGCTCTCTTCACTAATGCCATGACAACCGAGCTCGGATTCCTAGCCCTCACCCAGCTCCAGAAGATTGCTCAGTCGTCGTCGCAGAAGACCGAAAATCGAGACCACGAAAATCGAAATCAATCTCATCATCATCACCAGCAACAATATCATCATCAGCAACGACAACAACAACTGATGTTGGCATCAGGATCAGCCGCCGCGACACCTCCAACCACGTGGGTGTGGAACCCTAGGGGTGGCAAGGCAGGTCAGGACGAGGAGGACGAGAACGAGGACGAATCGTGGGAGGTGAAGGCGTTCGAGGAGGATGCCGGGAACATCATGGGCAGCACGTGGCCGCCGCGGTCCTACACTTGCACCTTCTGCCGCCGGGAGTTCCGGTCGGCTCAGGCTCTCGGCGGCCACATGAATGTCCACCGCCGCGATCGGGCCAAACTCCACCACCACCACCAAACCCTACCGCCGCCGCCGCCGCCACCACCACCACCAAACCCTACCACCAACCCATCATCGGCCTCATCCCCTTACATCATCCCATCTACAGAATTCTCCACCGCCGCCGGCGGTTTATGCTTGCTCTACCAATTCCCAAACCCTAATACCAACCACCACCACCACACCGCCGCCGCCGGCGGAGGCTACAGCACCGCCATCTCCTCCGCCGCGACCAATGCATGCACCACCGCCGATTCCCCCTCCACTCTCCTCTCCATGGCGCCGTACGCTCAGCACCGCCATAACCGCGGCCAATCTCGTAATCCTTACCCGCCGCCAAGGCGAAACAATTCGTCATCTTCTCCTCCCCAATATTATGATTTCGGCGGCGGCGGCGGAGGAGGACAGCTGGCGGCGGCGGAGGGGAATGATAAGGAGGAGGTGGATCTGGAGCTGAGGCTTGGCCAGAGATCCACGTCATCCTCATCATCAGCTTAAAAAGACGGGGGACAACAAAGGATAAGAAATTTCTTTTCATTAGTTATCTTTTTTTTCTTCTTCTTCTTCTTCCTTTTATTGTTACCATTATTTTTTTTCCCCGGTTTCTAAAACATTTTATGTTATAGTTTTTTTGATAATTTGGAGCGGACATTTTGTTAAAGTGAGAGTGAAAATGAGGGGGGAAAGGAAGAGATTTATTTTTTGTGTAGAAAGACATTTACATGTAATAAAATTCTATCAATGTTTCAAGAGACATTTTTGTTCTGTTATCTACCGTTAGAGAATTATAGCCTTCTTAACTAAAATTTGTAGCAAATTTAGAAAGTATAATAAGATTTTAACCCCTCTTCCTCAATTACTACGATTAGAAGATCAGTCCTCCTTATTTAGATATCTGCCTCCATCGGTGTCAACGGGCGAGTGAATTTCGATACGTAGCACTTATTCGTATTGATAACGACGATGAGGATATGAATCATTGAATATTCTCTCAATCTGATCTCACTTCTTTCTCACCATAACAAAGCTGGAAGTAATGATATAGTGGAAACTATATTAAGAAGAAGCCAACATGTAGAACAGGAATTCAGAAAAAAAAAAAGTTTTCATGGAGGACCATAAATGATAACCCATGATGGGTTTTTTCGTTTTGGAAATTGCAGAGAAAGGGATAAGTTTGCATTGCACCGTCGTTTTCCACTGCCGATTTCGCCAACGTTGGGTCTCTCTCTCTCTCTCTCTCTGAATGCAAATCTCTGTCTGGTCTATATTGCATACATATGGTGGTATTAATTTCCGTGGGTGATAGTTTAAAAACGGTCCCCCTATTCATATAGATATATAGATAGACCAATATGAATTCGGTCGCAGAAAAATACCCTACCGCGGACCCTATCTCTCTGGCAGGCTCTGTCTATTATCAGCTGAAATCGAGGTGTGCGTACTTATTGTGGAGAAGTTTGGTGGATCGATCCACTTTGTACTTAAAGTTTGAGTTTTGGATACTTACTCTTAAGTTGTCAATGCTCCATTGATGTTCATCATGTTCATGGAGCAAGGGATTCATAAAGAATGTAGATCCTTGAATTTAGGTGGAAGCTTGTTGTGAATGAAGGCGCACCCGAGCATACTTTACTGAGTTTAATCACGGATATCTATTCAAACTTTCTTTTTTCTCGAAAGAAACTCCTTGAGAAACTTTGTAGAATTGGATACCTCGGTCACCAGGTTAAGAAACTGGGTGGTACATGTAATTCGCTAATGATGCCAATGAATAACTTGGCATATTGTTTATCGTGTTCACCAATATTTTTTAGTCGATATGAATAAATTAAAGAACATTCGCGGTACAGTCTCGGTGACGAAAGTCTCACCCTTGAATTGTGAGTCTTCTCTCCACTCTTCAAATGCCTAGGACAATTCAATCCACGACTCCTTTTGCGGAGGATCTTGATATTCAACCGACTCATAAAGACCATGAACTACTCTTCTTCATTTTCCTACACTTGTTGCCCTAATCTCAACTCAAATTCACTTAAACCAACGCATTCATGTCCAAACATATTCATGTCATATGAAGCAATCAATAGACTCAATGCATGGTTTAAAGATCAATTGAACTCAATAAAAATATGAGAGCACCTAGAAAGACTAATAAGTAATAACACATACTTTAGCTGTTATCACTTTCTCTTTCCAATTCTCAAAGCACAAAAAATTTATCTTCTTTCTCTTCCCTGAAATTAAAAGCAGCAAAATTCTCTCCTTCTTTCTCTTCCTCTATGTTTGGGAAGGGGTGTAAATGGAAGGGGGTGCAAGTTTGGGGGTAAACACAAGTTCCAAGGTGTTTACCCCGTTTGGTTATTTTGTAGCAGTAGGGAGGTGTAAAACGTGAGCGTAAATTCACTATTTCGGCTTACCCCCCAAATTGGGGTGCAAGGGAAGGAAGGAAGGAAGGGAGGGGGAAGGGGGAGAAGGGAAATTATGAATTTTTAATTAGATTATAATTACATAATAATTAATATTATTAATTTTTTCTTATATCTATATTAGTGTAGAAGTTGTTTGGGGTTGACCATTTGACTCAGAGAGCGAGTTTGTCAATGTTCGCCTAGTCAAATCGATATCTCTTAGTTGACCCGAATTTGCATTGAAAATTAGAGATAAGAAGCGTTTGTTGAAAAGATAGAGAGGAACAGTTTAGTTAACTCGATTTACTTTAATAAGTAGTTAAAACTTACAGATTCGAACGTGTTTGACTAAGTTTGACCATATTCAATTTAAAGTTAGGCACGAGAACCCCCTTAGGATGACCAGTTACGAGATGGATTTCGAGTTTCGAGGTTGCTCGACCAATGATTATTATTGTTGTTATAAATAATTATATTTGAGCATCATTATATAATAATTATTTTTATTAAAATTATTTTTATTTATTATTTATTATTATTATATATTGAACTTTCATGTTATTATTTTGTGATAATATTTTATAAATTGATAAATCTATTATATAATAATATAATTACTTACTTTTTACTCTATTTGCACCCCCCTACTTTTTCATCCAAACAACAATTTACCCCTCCACTTACACCCTCCACCAAGTTGCACCCCCCAACAATTTACCCCTCAACTTTCACCCCCCTCGAACTTGCACCCCCCTTGTTGCCAAAAATTGAAGGCACCAAATGTCTCTTCTTTAAAATTGAAAGCACAAAAAATTTCACCTTTCTTTACTTCTAAAAAAATTGAAAGAACCAAATTTCTTCATTTTCTCTTCCTAATAAAGTTGAAAACACCAAAATTTCTCTCTTCTTTTATGATAATCAAATTAGTCAATACATTTACTCTATTTATATTTAGTCGATACTTTGTGAAATACTTAATTAACCAAAATTTTGAGATATATATATATATATATATGGGTGATTCTATCGTACCTTGGGTAAAATCAAGGGTACAACATACCTTGAGTAAAAAAATGATATCTAGACCTCGAATTGAGCATAGTTTAGCGTATGATATTATTCCCAAACCCTTAAGGATTAAAATCTAGGTCTTAGTTTTATAAATCTCATACACTAAGATCAATTTAATAAGAAACAAAAATCAACGGCTATGATTTGTCGAAATATATGCAACAAATTACAGGCACAATCTTAGGGATTAGGCTCTTTGATTTAGAAATCTAAGACCTAGGTTTCAATCATCAAGGGTTAGAGTATAGTATCATGTCCAAAAATTCGGTTAATTCGAGGTCTAGATAGCATTTTTTTACTCATGGTATGTCGTACCATAGATTTTACCCAAGGTACGATAGAAGCCACCATATATATATATATATATATATATATATATGGGGAGTTCTATGGTACCCAGGGTGAAATCCGGGGTACCGTATACCTTGCGTAAGAAAACGCTATCCAGAACTTGAATTGACTGATCTTTCGGACATGATACTATACTCTAACTCTTAAAGATCAACATCTAAGTCTTAATTCTCTAAATCATATACCCCAAGATCAATTTAATTAGAAACAATAATCGACGGTTATGATTCGTTCAAATATAGGAAAAAAAATCAATGCACCATCTTAGGGTTTATAGTTTATGATTTAGATAATTAGAACCTAGGGTTCACTCGTTAAGGGTTAGGGTATAGTATCATGCCCAAAAATCCTGCTAATTCACCGTAGAAGGCACCATATATATATATATATGGTGGCGTATTCGACGCACCTACTTTTTTGGGTGCATTCAGTGCACCCGCCTCATAATCATCATTCTCAGCGTGCGATTCATGTCAAAACGGTATCAATTGTTGCTAATGATATTATGAACAAGAAGCACATGAATTTGAAAAAAAAATCATTCATAATTTACTTTAATTCGAAGGATTTATGATTTAGGGATTTAGGGTTAGGGTTTAGGTTTATAATTTGGGATTTTGGGTTGGGATTCAAAATTGAAGGTTAAGGGGTTAGGGTAATGGATTGATTTGTTATGACTCTATGTCATATCATCATATTATATTGAGAGTATTAATTAAAGTTCAAAATTTGATGTATTATGAACGCTTTTAGAGTTGGGTGCACTCAGTGCACCCAAAAAAGTGAGTGCACCAAAGTAGCCACCATATATATATATATATTATAATGTTATAAATTGTTTCAATTCTTATTATTCATTAATATTGATATTTATATATTTTTATTATGGTAAATTTGTATTTTTTTTATTTTATTAAGACATGAACATTTCAGGTTTTAATTTTTGTAATGTTATTAAAGTGAATGTCAGATTTTGAACTTCACTTTACGAAATGAAAATGACTTCACCTATAATTCAAACAAATAATTCATTTTCCAGAACTTTATATTATATAGTTTAGTAATTATTCGATATCGGACGGGTTCGGGTTGGGTCTACTATGTAACAGGTAAATTGGGTTCGAGTCAATCAAGTTGAGAATTAATTGTGTTATTGACCAATCTAACTCGGTCAATCGAATTATGAGTCAATCGATTTACGAGTACAATCACATTGTGAGTTGGGCAGCTTGAGGATCATTAAATTTTAGCCGACTGAAATTGCATTCGATTTATGTTAACTGGACCTGGACGGATTACTCGAATTGAGTTCTGATTTACACCTCGTACTTGTACCCCAGGAAGCAATACTGGACTGCCAAACCCAGTAAACAGACCGAGCCAAGTCCACCAATAGATATATAAGACCAAACAAAGCCCAGTTCAGACTTTAGACATGTTAACTTCAAACCCAACGCAACATGAATTTTGCTTAGTTAGCAAGTGGTTTTCGCACGCTTTGGTTGATAAAATAATGGTTTAATTATGCTGTTAGGGTTCAATTAATGCTCACTCTGAGATAGTGATATGAATTATGATATGCTTTCTGTCGGGCCAATCGACAATAATAAGAAAGACAACGATAAGTAAAAAAGTAAAAAATACAGGAATTTACTTGGTTTACTA